TCCAACGGCTGGGATCATAAGGGAGCTAGCGCGCGCACGAGCGCGAGCGCGGTATCCGCGATTTATGCAAATGACCCGAGACGGCGATAAATTTCAGTCGTCGAACCAGTCGGTTCACCTCTTCGAGCCTCGAGTAACAGGAACACGCGACGAAACGATTTTCCTTGTAAACAGTTAGGCTCGTCGTGTTTCTGTCTACCCGACGCGACGAAACCGAACCTTCGACTTTTGTTTTCGTGCTGCGGAACGAACCTCGTGGCCGTTCGTCTCGGGGCTCCCGGAAGGTGAGCCTCCGGCGAGGGGCGCGCGGGAATTAAATTCGCCTTGGTCGTAATTGATTTACGATGTTTCGATTCCTTCGGTTAAACGGGGAATCTGAAACGATTAAGTCATCGTTTCGACCTTGCCCGTGTGTCGCGAACTATGTTAGGCACGGTCGCCGGCGATCGCGACGCTAGCCTCAGCGGTTACGGCCGGAAATTTCAGCGAAGTTTATCTTGACGCTGCCACGGTACTCGTTGGAACGAATCGTCTCCCGGTTCGATAAAACGGCTGATTAATTGCCCGGTTTCTAATCGACGCGCTCGTCGCTATCTATTTTCGTCCGAGACAACTCCGAGCGCGGGTCTTAATATTCGTCTTGGAGAAGGAGGGCCCCGGACCTATAGAAACACTGTAATAAAATATCATTCGAATCGTCGTCCGCTCGGCAACGTGTTCGACACGGCCCCGAAACATCTAGTCCAGGGTGGAACGGCATTGGAGCGTGAGCGCGTTTACTGCCGCATCGGCTCCCATAAAAATCCTATAAAGGCCCGACTAACTCATTCGGCGAAACAAAATTATAACTTTGTTGTATTTCTGGGGCTCACGGTTGGATTAAGATTTTAGTGGACCATCAGCGATCTTGTATTCTACATTGGTTTTTCGATTCTCCCCCCGGGGATTTCTGTAGCCTACAGCCTTCCCAATTACACTAAAATCTTGGCCGAATCCTACAGGCTATAACTATGCGAAGGATCGCATAAAAATGAATTTTTAAGAGTTGCGTGGCCTGTGTAAAACGGCGCGGCGCGACAGTAAACGCGTTAACGAGCCCGAGGCGAAAAGGAAAGAAGAGGCAGAGACCCGTGAGTCAGAGAAAAGGTGTGATAGTACTGACCTTGTCCTTGTCGAGAACCTGGCCCGGTAGCGCGTGACCCTTGCTACTCCATTGGCAGAGGTGCTGCCCGTTATACTCCGAGCAGACCACGTGGAAGCACGCATGGCACTCTGTGGGACATATAGAACCGCACATGCAGCAGCAGCCCGTAAAACGAGTGAATTCAGCGTAGGTTCGGTCGGTCGCGGGCTGCTCGGCCCCCGACCCGACGCCCTTGAGAAGGGCGCGCTGCCCGACACCGGCGCCCGAGCCCTCGTGACCGATCGCGTACGAATCGACGCCGCCCTCCGCTCTCTCGCGGCCGCCTAACAAAGACGACAAGACCGTTCCGCCGATGTTGTTCGGGTATAACGGGCCGCCGCGGTGCTGCTGCTGTTGCTGCAGTAGCTGCAGCTGCGCACCGTCCTTGCAGAAGCACATGTACCGGTGGAACGATGCCGGCCTCGCGCACGGGAAACACCCTCTCCATAGTCGCTCGTGTTCAGCGTCCGTCGTCTTTTCAACGAAGAACGTCTCGTCGTGTTTCTCGACCGGCTCGTCGCTCCTCTCGACGCCGCTCGCGTAAACTTTCTCGGGCGAGATCAGGTGACCCTCCCTCGCCAGGGTCACGGTCTGCGCCGTCAGGGGTGGTAGCATTAACAGGAGCGGCCGGTTGGTAACGCGATGCTTGAGGGTCGCGTTACCGTTCATCAAAGCGGCGGACGTCAAGCCCGAGGCGGACGGGTACGAGGAAGAATAGGTGGCGGCGATGCTGGAAGCGTTGCTGTGGGGATGGGTCGGTTGGCTGGCCGTGGGGTAGCGTCTGGACGCGGCGGGTAACGGGAGATTAGCCCTGGACCTGATCGATTCCGTGGTCTGCGGCTCGTTCGCGTAAATCACGGTCATTTGGAAATCATTGTACGCGGCGTTGGTGGCGGTGATGTTGCTGGCCAGGTAGGCGCGTGCCTGCGGCGGTGGCCTGGGTTCGCGGCGCAGCGACGGATAGGAGGCCGGTGCTGCGGCCGGGCCGCCGTTCGCCTGATTGGTCGTCGCCGACGACGGCGCGATGGTGGATAACGATATCGAGGTGGCGACGGTCGACGCGGAGTTGCTGCCGGCGCCTTTGCGAAGCATGTAATTGTCCGCGTCGACGGCTAACAGCCGCGACATCGCCGTCGACTTGGCCTTAGTGTCATCGCTCGAGCCACCCTTCGACGACGGTACTTTGCTCGGCTCCGTCCTGGGCTTGCTCTCCGCGATCTTCTCGCGTTCGTCCCTGTCCGCGATGCTGCCACCCGCCGCCACCGCCGCCGTTATCGGGTTAAACAGATCGTGTATCCTGCCCTGTAAGCTGACCGCAGGCTGCTGCATCTGCGAACCGGCGGTCGCAGCTGCGGCGGATGCGTTCGTCGCCCGCTTCATCGCTCGGCCCGATCCTCGCAATCATCAAACCTTCTCTAGCCGGCTACGACTAGGTTTTATTGTTGCCGGCCTTCGCGACGGCGCTGCTCGAGACGTTGCTGCGTTCCGGCGAGTCCTGGGCCTCCGTTGTGTCGCGCGAGTCACCCCTCATCGTCCCGGGTCGACCCACGGACCACGGGAGCCACTACTCGATCACACCGACTCGTTTCCGTGCACCGCGACGCCTGCTCCCGCCGTTTGCCTCTTCCCCGCCGTTGAACACGTCGAGCTTGCGCCGATGATCTTCGTCTTCGTCGTCGCCGGGTCGCGTTTCAAGGTCACTCGCATCTCGCCAGCATCGAGACCTTTAACACGCTCCACTCCCCCCCCTCGTCGATACAATGTTGTCTTCGCGGAAACACGCTTTACTGTTCGATCCTCGATTATCTTCGGTGTTCCTAGCCGACGTTCCTCGGCGATCGTGGGTCCCCGTTACGCAGGAAGGCACGAGATGCTTCGCTCGATGGATCTAATCTCTAGAAATCGGCTCCATTAATCGGGGGCATCGATGATCGCTGATCAGCCGAAGGGAAACGCTTCGAGCCCGGCGATTAACTTATCGGCCAACGCGTTCGTATCTTTCAGATGAAAAAGATTCCGTTCGAGGTTAACGCGAGGAAAACGAGAACCGGAGAGAGAAAGAGAGAGAGAGACACAGAGAGGGAGGGAGGGAGAGAGAGAGAGAGAGAGAGCTCGTTGAATATCAACGCTAACCTGCACAGTGAAACGATCCAGCGATTCCGTCGCGCGCGTTAACTCGGTCGAAGTGGAAATAGACGGATAACACGGGCACGGACAGATGAAGAAGAGAAAAATAAGGGGAAAGGGGGAGAGAGACGGACGGAGAGAAAG